TGATCTCCCTGCGCACTTTCACCAGGTCGTCCACGGTGTGGAAGGAGAGCTTGATGTAGTTTCGCTTCAGCCCCACCAGGTGATTTGGCTATTATTGAAAAAAAGAGAGGCTTCACTAAGAAGGTTAGGCGAGCTTTGAAGAAGTCGATAAGATGCAGTCCATGGAGAGGGAAGAGACAGAATAGCGACAACACATTGCCAACATGATGGGAGAAAGATAACAGGTCAAAGAAGCTGGGGAAGGGACTGTCCGCTATGCTGGATTTCAGGCACGAGAAAGCACGAAAAGGGAGAGAAAAGGCAGGTTCTATAACAGATGCATCTACAACAAGGGCCACAAAACAGACACACAAAGCATGTTGCACCAAAACATCACTGAAACAATACAATATTAGCAAGAAGAACCTCCTTCCGTATTCAAAGGTTTTTGATTATTGTACTATCAATACCTGTAGTATATTTATTTTGTAGTCCTTTCCAGGAGAGACTCTTGTCTTTTCTCTTTCCTTTTCTCTGAGCTCCTTATATTGATGATTTATTTTTAATAGGGATGGGGATTCTGGTATTTTTTGAACAACAACACCCAGATGTCTGCTGGAACTGCGCTAACTATAATTCTGGGTGGGTTTAGTTCTCCTCTCAAAAGCCCTTCAGAGGAATTGGCCAGGGGAGGCTAAGCTCCATGGCTCCGCAAAACATGAGGGGTATTGTACTTTATCGATCCATTATGCTCCGCACAGGGTAGCCTTTCAGGAAGCTACAATACCCCTCATGCTTTGCAGGGCCACATAATTTAGCCCCACCATCCACCCAGTTCCTCTGCCTCAAAAGTCAGACATGGAGGGATTCCTCCCCCTCCCCTTGCCGGCCCTTTTATGCACCAGCTGTAGCCTGATCTACCTCAAAGGTTTTTTCTAAGGATAAAGGGGAGGAAGGAGAGCTGCATATGCTGCCTTGAGCTCCCTGGGGGAAAGGTGATCTAGAAATGCGATTCATAAAATTAGGAATGTGGTTCTCACCAGGTCCAGATCCTCTTTCGGGACAGTCTCCAGCTTTGCAATTTTGCCCTGGAATTTCTTAGACAGGAAGGACGAGACTTCTCGGTCGCAACCCTAGAGAGACAACAACAAATCAGAGGAGCCAAGAACAGATATCCCTTCCTCTACAACCCTTCCTTAAACTTCCTTCTCCTGAGGAAACGGTTTCTGTGCTGGTGTCTCTTAAAAGCAAACCCTCCTGGGGTATTCAGAGAACGCGGGAACATGGCAGGGTTTCCATTCCGCCCCTGTAAGGGTGTGATCAGACCTCTTAGGTCTCACTGATGTTGTGCTAAAATTCAGAATACACGTGAAACAAACACAAAACTCATTTCAGGTTGGACACTGACCAAGACAGGTAATAACAGGAGAGCTATGTAATAAAACAAAACAGACCTGTCTTTTACATGAAATAGGCTGTCACTGATTATTTCCTTATTTAAGAGTCTGTATTATATAGGGCTGTCTGTGCAGGACAGCCCTATAAACTCTCACGTACCAGTCTGAGCACCCATTAAACTGGAGCTTTTAAATTGTTTCTTAGTGTTTTGGCTTACAAATTAAGACTGTAATCCTACACATTTCTATTCAGAAACAGGCTTTGCCGAACTCAAAGGGATGTGTATCAGTATAAGACTGAAGCCTAAAGGGGCTTAGGATTGGCCTTAGTCAAGGGACTGCAGTTTTATGCCTGGCTTGGGAAGTTCCCTCTCACCTTCTGGGTTGCAATGTAGAAGTATGGCTTATAGGGCAAGGCCACCTAGAAAAGAGCAAAGACAAGTCAGTTCCACACATCTGTACTGTAGGACCTGCCTATCTGCGGGATCAGCATCTGTTGTTTCACTTACCCGCTGCTTAAAACTAATAAATAGATATGTGTATCTGTTTCCAGGTATATCTATATAGATACACAGATAGATACAGACAGACATAGGATTTGCTATTATCCACTATTTGTGGCATCTGCGGGGGGGCGGGGGTTGGAACTGATTTGCCTCGGAGTCTTCCCTGCAAAGACAGCGCAGCTACAGCAATGTACCCATCTCCCCCTGCCCCAAACTTTACAACACAAGCAGCTGTTCCATGGGATTTCTCTGATGTTCACTTCTCACATGGAAAAGGGAAACAGGGGCTCTGTGGACAAGGGTTGTTTTAATCCAAAGACCTGTGTAGAAAGAACACCCAACTCCCCACACATCCCACCCTGTTGACCAAGGTTTGTCCAAGAAAGCAGGGGAGGTGACACTGGTTGTTGCAGACATTTGTGTAAGAAAAGGATGTTTATTGCTTTGGCATACTTTCTGAAAAATGTTTTCAAGGAGGGGGGGCACAGAGATCACCTGTAGGAAGCCTGACTTTTGTTATCCCCGTGAGTTCTAGAAAACAGTTTGAACA